AAGGAGTGATTCACCAGCACAGAGTGTTAAGGTTGTCCCCTCCTGCTCAAAGAGAAGGTGAAGCGATCCATACAGAAGAATTCCCATGGGTAAGGGCAGACAGGGACAAGCTTCCAAGAGAAAGCACCCATTGAAATAACCAAATGCTCTTTAGGTGGAGCTGCACTCTGATCTTGTGCCTCCTCCCACCTTCCCTGCACTCACTGAGGGTATCACCCTAAGGTCCATGCACAGATGCTCACAGCATCTGGGGTGAGAACGAAGGGCTCATATGTGTGTAAAACAAGATGGGTGAAGAAAGGAGCATGTGAAAAATGGGAGGAGGAGGATGGGCAGAAGTACTGTAGCTGTGTGTTAGTAAAGAGGAAAAAGGGAAGCTGGAAAGAAGAGGATTGACTGTTAAACCTGAGAAAACTCCCACAAACTTACTTAAAGCAGCCATGTGGCCATCACTCTCACCCACATCCTCTGTCGTCCCAGCAAACAGAGACCTCGCTGCGACACAGAGACTGGCTGCAGCCGAGTCATTTTCTCTCTATCTTCTCTCTTCCCCTGGAAAATGGGGGTACTGCTGCTGCAGAAGCCATTCCCAAGCCTTGCAAGGGCCTGAGCAGCTCCAAGAAGGTCACTCCTCTGGGTACAGCTCCTCCGCACCACCAGAGCTAGGTATATATATTTGGAAGTCCTAAAATCGCACTCCAACCTCTCCCTCCCTGCTGGGCTGGTGCACAAGGGTTACATGGATGGGAAGGGATAGGAGCAGAACCAGGTGCACAAACTCATCTCACGGGAATTCAAGTTTCCGTGCCTTAGTTCCCCCTTCCGCACCACCAGTTCTCCACCTCGTAAGGGGCTGAGAGGATGACTCAGTATTTCACTGCCATTTTATTTCTGCTGAAACAATGAAAAACAGAGTAGCTATATGCAGAAAAGGTCACTACACTACAAATGCACAGACACTTAGCCTCCTCCAGTCCTAACTGCTTTGGTTTTTAATTTATGATAGCTTTGTTGCTTATTTTAACAAAGGCACAAAACTCAAAATGCTCTCAGTAAGCATTTAATTAAAGCTTAATTACTATAAATATGTTAAATGTGCAAACCTAGCAGGTGCAGCCAAGGGAAAGAAGCCCCTAGCAGTGGTTTTCACACAGACTATAAATTCTCCCTTTTAAAACTGATGTCTTTCCGGGAGAATTAAGAAACCACTTTGAAGTAGGTCTTGAAATCCAGAAGAGCAATATGCTTTCACAAAGACTAAAAATAAAGCAGACGAGGAGTCACTCCAACTGAAAAACGTAAATGAGACGTGAAGTGGAATGTGTGTGTGTGTGTGTGTGTGTGTGTGTGTACGTGCACACCCACTCACCTGTGTTACTCCTCAGGCCTGAACAGAAAAGCACAGTTACAACACAGCACTGCAGACTGCGCAGAGTGACAGTTACACCTCGGTATGCTTAGACTACAACCAGCACCACTGTCTCATCAGCAATGTTAAAGCTATGGGAAATTCCCCCAGCCATGGGAATTACAGCATAAAACCTTCCTTTGATCATGTAAACGTGGTCACAGCTGATCTGTCTTTAGCCCACAACCTGGTTACAACCTGCATTATCAGAGAGCTGAGGAATTTGGGCCTGGACTGCCTCTCACACAAAAAACAAAGAACTATAAATGAATCTATCCACACTTCAGGAAGGTAACTAATAAGCTAATTAAAATAATAAAAGGAACACAATTCCTTCAGTAATTTTTTTATAGCATCTAAATTATCTTAATGAAATGCTTCTGAAACACAAACATCGAAATTAGATGCCCGACTGAAGTATTTGGCCACTTCCCTTTATGTTTATAACTATCACCACTGCAGTGTTTGGGGGCTTAACGTGCTGGAACCACATGCTGGGGCCCTGGGTGTTTGTAGCACAAGAGAGAGCCCCAGCTGCATGCCAAGACAGACACGGAGTATAAGGGATGCTAGAAAAGAGAAATAACTCCTCCAAGCCGCTGAGCTGAGACAGAGTGGATCCCAGGAGTCCTGATAGCCCGGGACCACTAGATCATAAACTACCCCAGGGTGGAGAGGTGCCAAAGCTCAGCTGCAATCGCGCTGCGCATCTGCATTTCAGGACAGGGAAGATGCAGAGGAAGATGCCAACTAGGACTAGAAACACTCCCTGCTCGCCGAAGAGTGATCCTCTAAAGAACCCCTCTGCCTGGCCCTGCAGCTGCTGGAGGTGCCAGTGCCTCTCCCACTTCACAGGGTTCGATGGGGCTAAACTCACCTGGATTTGGAGCCTTGGGGAGCCCATGAGAAAGGCTCTGCTTCAGCGTGACATGGAGCCCTGAGCCTGCTCCTTCCCAGCTATGCACCCGCCTCCCCTCTGAAACCCATCCGCAGGGATGCACCAGAACACTTCTTAATGCTTTGCTCTGTTTTGGACACAGGACATTTTCAACAGGAAGAGAATGATCAATGTTTTGTCGTAAAAAGGAAAGATAGACCCCAAACTTCCCTGCTGGCGTACAGGATTTCATCTCGTAGCTGATGGCAACTGACAGAACTCATTAATGCAGTGCCTCTGAAATTAAATTAAACATATGGACTGTAGCTGTCTAATTGGAAGTGAGGGCTGTGAAAATTGGGAAACATTACAGAGCTAAAGGACAGGTCACAGAAACCTCCAGCAGCACTGCAGAGACTGAAAACATAGTTCTTCTCTGAAAAATGACTTTGGGAAGACAGCAATTTGGGGCTGAAGGCTTACTTTTTCTTAGTGGTTCTAAGCTGAAAATACTCATTCCAGCTACCAACGTCACAGCCCCCTAAAGCCACAGTGCAGTGAGTAACTTGCGCAGGTAGCAGCAACCTTAAAAAAAGAAGTGGTGACAGAGCAATCAGGTTGAACAAAATTGAATGACCCTGCTTTTGTTGCAGGCTAACAATACATGCACCGAAATTAGATGCTCAGCTGGCTGCACCTTGACCATCTCTGAGCCACTCGTTACCGTTTCTGGGATGTGCCAGCCAGGGAAAGACCCAGCTCACCTTCCCCTGGTTGACTGATGGGCTAAGAACCAAGAGTCGTAACAACTTATAATCCACCAAATCAGCTGCTGTGGCTGGATAAACCAATTTTAGATCATTGCTCTTTACAGAGGGACCACACTTTAAAAAAAAAATAAATCCTGCATCCTAATGCAAAGCAGAGTAAGTCATATTTAGACTAATTCCTACCTCATGTATGCACAAGGATTGCAAGAGATCCAGAAAACCAGCAGGCGCTCTGCAGTGGGAAGGGAAAAGCTAATAAACATTTAAAATTCTGCAGGCAAACCCGTGCCACTGAGCCAAAGCCATCAGCTCCCAGGCTCTGCCCTCTCCACTTCCAGAGCCGACCGCACACACAACGCCCAGCTCGGCCGGGTTCGGGTTAAAAAGGTCACCCCGTGGTCTACGTCTGCGATTTGTCGGGGATTTCAAACACTCTGTGTGTCATGTTCCAGCCCAATACATTTCCCAGCCAGCAGCGAGACCCCACTGAGGACATTAGAAAGCTAAAAACCATACGGAGGGCCAGAAACATGTCTGGCACAACCTCAGTGGTATCAACAGAGTTGTTACACCAGGAGTAAGTCTGGCTTGTGTTTATGTCTGCCTCTGTGAAGCATCTAATTACTCTTCCACTATATCACTGGAGACAAGTCCTACCAAGCTTCAGATATTCAAGGACTTCTCAATTTTCAATTAAAGTCAACATTCATCCAAAATGTGAGAAAAATAAAACACCATTTGCCCGACACAGCTAAAAGCTTTTTTTTTTTTTTTTTTTTTTGCCAGATACCCAAATAAGACTTGCCATCTTTATCGCTCTGCCAGTCCGTTACAAGGGACCAGCCCGGGTGCTGAACGCTTTTTACTGCCTAGATGCTTTTATTAGCATTTCTACTTGATTTTAGAGCTGATTTTAGGTAATTATTGCACTACGAACAGCCTTCCTCCCTGTCTCCTCTTAGCCTTTGCAACTCGGGAAGCCCTGTTCTGGTCCACCAGTCGCTTGGAATGGTCAACAGCCGTCACACTCCATTGCTGACCATTGTCCACTGGCAAAGGTGGGAGGCTCCAAAGCCCGTCCCTCTGCGGTCGGGCAAACAGCGGGGCCCGTTGCTGCTCGGACATCAAAGTTAAACAAACAGCCCCAAGCCCCCGCCTCTGTGCCCGTCTTAAGGAGCTCCCCAAGGAGGTCACGACTTTCAGCTTGTCATAGCACACATCAAAGTTTGCACCACACACGAACTCGGCACATGGATTCGAATCGTGTCGCCCGAGAGCGGATATTCAGCTTTTGTGCACTGCTCTAATCCTGTGTTTTCCCAAGTAATTAGGCTTTTTTGCTTATGAACTTGTGACTAAGTAAAGCATCCCTGAGAGGTTGTAACATCAAAGCTCATTCTCCCGTCTGTCCCACGTTTTCCAAAATTGGATTTCTTTTTCTCTTTTTTTCCTTAAATAAAAAACTAATTGAATTTAGTTGTAGACTGAATATATTTAAGAGTGTCTTTAAAAGGTTACAAGAAGCCACAGCGATCATCATGGGAACTAAGGAGGGAGGGCACAGCATTCAGAAAGGCCTAGCATGAAAGACCCAGCAATGGCCCCACAAGCCAGGAGGGACGCGGCAGCTCTTACGGGAGCTATTTCTGATGGTGGGGTGTTAGACTACCCACCACAGTGACACCCCAAGGTTACGGACTCATCAGAGGCCAAAATCTACTGCCAATTCAGCAGTCACCTCTCTGGGACTGCAGAGCAGCCTACCTCAATCTGTCACACAACGTACTGGGCACAGGACGAGTGAAAAGCTCCCTCGGGTTTAGCTCGCCAACACAGCCCAAACTTTACGGAAACTCTGTGAAGCTCAGTAGGACTTTACAAAAAGGGGTGGCAGCTGTGGAGTGACTTACCCACTACGTGACGGTGAATGCCGAGACAAACGTACCTGGAGTTCCTGCTGATAGCTGCCACCATGAGAGCAGTCCAGCCAAGCCTGTGCCTCGCGTTCACGTCTGCGCCCTCCAGCAACAACCTGGACAGAAGAGAGACAAGTTCAGGAAGAAGCCGCAGAGAAAGTGTCCCGAGCAGACTGGAGCTAACGATGGAAAGCGCAGTATTTTACTTCACGGGAACTTGCTCCAGCGCAGCCCAGGAGAGCCGGCATGAAAAGCGGATTTAATCCAGTTTCTCCTCAGCTACGAAACTGAAATGAGCTGGTAGGTGATAACAAGCACAGCCCTTTGAAATGGCGCAATGCCAACTGTCTTGTTTTCTTTATCTTTTCTTTCTTTCTTTCTATTCAGTCTAATACCCGAAGAACCAACCAGCCGCATGATGGAGAGGGAAGCTGATCAACCCGCAACCTGACGGCAGGTTCAGATCTTCAGGCTGCACTGGAACTTTTAGGGTTTCAGAAGCAGCTCGGCAGATCTCCAATGTCCATATCAACGGGAGACATTTTGCTATTTTTTTGTACGACATGAGAAGAAAGAAGACAAACCCAAAACGTACGAGGCATCAAACCACCCTTGGTGCTTTCTCAACCTTTGCACTGTTTTCCCTAATCCCTCCCTGGCACCTTTTAAACTTTGCTCCTACACAACTTCTGCTGGTTTTTACTTTGATATTCTTCAGACTCCAAAGCACCAGAAGGCTTCTCTACCCTTTTTGCACCCCCTGATCCTGCAGTAACAGCACTGTTACTCTCAGCACTAGATTCCAAGCAATACCTTAGAGCAGTGATATTTCATAGAGACAAACCTACCCAACCCTTCTCTCTTTCATTGCCAAACATGAGATCTAAATAACCTCCTGTAGCCAAACCCAGTGAATGTGAGGAGTCCAGCCCCCCCCGAGCTGCCTGTGCTCCCCACAGCAAATGGTGAGGGACACATCCTTGAAGAAGCTAAATTCACCTCATCCTAAACCAAGTGCCAAATGGTATGGTATGAAATGACAGCCTGGAAGTGCCATTCTCTCTGCAGACCACAGACTTCAGACACAAATTTTAGAATGTTCCAGTGAAATGAGAAGAGACAAAGTCTGAACCCTACATGTTCAAGTCTACGACTACAATCCCATTTACCCCCCAAGAACACGGTGCTGCCCGTATCAAGCCAGGACAGCTGTAGGTCAGATTTTAGAAAGCAGGGAGGACTATGTGGGATTCAGCAGTTCTCCCCCGTTGGCTCATCCTTCTTCCTTTCCCCGAACAGAGGCTTTTCCTTCTTCCTTTCTGGGTGAGGCTGTTCCTGCACAGCACATCTTCCATGCAGGTGTAACAGGGAAGAGCTCCCATTAAACTCCGTGCTGTGAGAGACACAAGTGAAAACACAAGCCACGTTTCACACATGCAAAAACCACACTTGAAGTGTTTTAAATCCCCCCAGATCCACGGATAAGGAGGTTGATGGCAGCTGTGGCTGCTTGCATGCATTGAAAAAGTCAGATCACTTCTTCAAGGACTTGAGAAGTGTGTCTCCGAACTTGGCCACCCTATTCAAATGAATTGCCCTCAGCCTGCTGTGGTGGTAACTCTGTCAGATGGTTAATAAAGGGTGCTGAGATGCAATTAGTGAAAAGAAGCTAAATGCACCATATTCCTCCTCCTACAGTTGGAACAAAGGAAAGCATGAACGCTAGCCTGGAAAACCCCCACAGCAGTATACAAGGTCTCTGCAAACCTTCTTCCACCTGGTCAAAAATCTGCACAGTGGTTTCACTAAAAACTTATCCCAAGGAACAAATATATAATCCTAGAGTTATTTCCAACCAGCAGTACCAATACCTCAGCTTTGGCTCATGTCTTGAACACAGCTGAACACAGTTCTCCCTGCTGCCCTGAGAAACCAGCCAGTTAACTGTCATCCAAATCAGATGTCCCAAATGACCCCTATCCCTCTCCAGCTGAACTTTTTGCCCAGTTAAACTGAGACTGTGGGGGCATGAGACACAACAGGCAGATGACTTCAGCCAAGCTCTACAGAGAAGCACATTGGATAACTCTTTGGACTCAGGTGGAGGTATGATATGTAGGTAGTGGGTACAGGTGGGTAATTTGACCATCCTTTTTTGACAGAAGAGGTAGCCAGTGCTGGTGCCCTGGTACTGGATGCTCTGAACTGCTCATCAGGTACTTGGACTGAGATCCAACAGCTAAAAAAATAGAATAGTAACTGGTCCCCTTTATTCGTAGCTCCCAATTGTGGTTCAGGAGGCCACGACCTCTGTCAGTGATCCACAGCACCAACAGAAGATTTATGTTCTCTTTCCTGGGTTTACAATCAAAAGTTTAACAATAATGAACTATTCGTCAAGTAAACAGTAAGTCCATGATCCAAAAAAGTTTGATACTTGATGCTACACAGTAGCAGAGGAACAAATTTTCATGCAGAATCCTTACCAGGTCCATGCTATGTATGTTTGCACATCATTAACTCTGGGCAGGTTGCAGCTCCTGCATTATCAAAAGGTCCTGCAAACTCCAGCCCGAGGTGCTGCACGGGACCAGCCTTGGCTCCCCCCAGGATATGTCCTCGTGCTTTCTCCTTCTTCCAGCACCTAACCACTGAAAGCAAACGGTGCTGCCAGCTCTGCCGCCTGAAGGGCACTCCCAGACAGCAGAGAGCTTAAAGGAGAAACAGCCGTGTGCAGCCACGAAGCTCTCCTGTCCCTGTGAGTGCCTCGACGCACAGACGATGGCAGCCTGTGCGCGGGGCAGATCGCTATCTCTGGAGATCAGCTACGCATACGGAGGGTGTTTGCACTCACAACAGAGAGATAAGCAAGTCTGACTCGGATCCAGGGCCGCTGCTGGTCACAGCCATCACCTGCTCTTGCTTGGAGGGATGCTGCCTGCAGGAGAAATCCACACCATTGCTCCATCTGTGCCACCGCGTGTGCCGCGTCCTCCGCCCAGGCACAGAAAGCTGCTCCTTCAGACGAAAAACTGCTCGCTCGCTGCCGCTGCGGGGGCCAGCTGCAGCCCCAGCTCCCCCAGAAACCACAAGGGGCTGTAGCCAAGCCCAGCAAGAAACGGGGGAAACCTATACTGAGATCTTACTGTCTCCCCTCCAACCCACCCCAGGTGCTTTGAAAAATCCTTTCGTAGCCATCGCGACGCCCAGCCACCTTCCGATCTTCTCACGGAAGGATTTGTACAAGTTATTTCTGAATTTCATTTTATTTACTAGGCCATTTGAAAGTACTCTGAATGCAGTAACTTCCACCTCACCCCCTTTCTACCGTGTGTCAATCTGACAGTCTAATAGCCACATAAAATCCAGGAAATAAAGGCAAATATTACTGCAATGGAAAGGAAGCCTGACAGGGAACCCAGGAGAGGCAGGGGGAAGTCAGACACAAAGCCTCCCGAGGTATGAAGGCATCAGCTAAGCAAGGATGGAGGCAGCCACATCCCTTCGGGCTGGTAACTTTCACCTGACAGCTAAAACCTCACAGCCCAACACTGACCACTTATTAACGGGGATAAATTAATGTAATCCACAAAGTATTAGCCCTATTTGCACTTGACCATGGCATTAATGTGATTTAACACTAAATGTGCAAAAGTCCTGGTCGCCTTCCACCAGCCAGTGGGTCGCTCTGCTGCAAAAGCTTGGTCTTACCTCTGCATGTCATGGATTTTAACATTTGTTTTCCCATGAATGGGAACTGCAGCCAAACACTTTAGCATCTCCTCGCGAGACAGAGGACAGGCCGGCAACCTTCACTTAAAGCACTTTGGAGCCACTAAAAATGAGATTTCCACTCACTGGAAGGCTTTTATTCTCTGCAGACATACTGGTAAGGCATATTGAACAATGAATTATTTTCATTCTCAGATAAAAAAATAATGAAATAAGATCCCAGTCCAGCAGTCAAACCTGTTAAAACATAGTGCATCCAACAGGAAGGATGCTGGAGCCTCTGCTGCGGGATTCAATTACAGGCTTGGAGCTAAGATATTAGAATTAATCTAGTAGTTTTCCATTCAGGAATCTAGATAATCGTAAGCATCTGGAATGCCACATGTCCGAGCCCAGTAGAGAATTACCAGCGTCACATCATCTAGCATAATATGCATTGACATTTCATTTAGGAGCTGTATGATTTTTTTTTTTTTTAAATCATTGCAAGATGCTCAGCAACTTAACAGATTTTCTAGACAACTGAACTTTATGTTCAGGGTCTTCAAGCCTATCATTAATTTTTTCCCCGCCTGATTTAATGATATGACAATCGATAAAGCGACAATCACTGCTCAGATCCTAGACAGCCAAATGTATTTACCAGCAGGAGTATTTTTTTAATTAAATAAAATCCTCTGATCAATGTTTAAAGATGTTTATCCACATTTTAACCAAATAAGATCCAGGACACTCACTCTTACCTCCTAAGGAGTTTCTCATGCATATATAGCTCTATTAGCACCATTTTCAGTGTTTCTCAAATGACAAACTGGTCCTTGGCTGCAGCAGCCCCACCAAGACGCAGCCCCTTGAAGAACCCTGCTAAAAAGCAAGTGCTTTTCTTGTTTGGTGGTGTGTTTGTATTTGAAGCATTTCTGGTTTGGGTTTTGTTTGGGTTTTTTTTTCAGGTTTTAGGGCAGAAAGCTCATCTGTTTCTCCAGACAGACAGGGTATTCTGCATGAACAGCTTTTCCTGACAGGCTTCTAATGGTTAGAACCTGTGAGCGAGCAGTGACAGCTCCTGGTTCCAGTCTTTGACGGACGTGCCCTCTCCCTGCAGAGCCTCGGCTCCAAGGACAGAAATGGGGACATTTTGCAGGATTGAAGATTTCTCTAGAAAGGAGCAGAGGCTCTGGACCAGCAGAACATCACCACCAGCTCTGGAATCTGCTGGAGGAGCCCGGGCAGAGCGGCACCCGCTGCTTTGTGCTATTTTACCGTGAGACAGCAGCTCCCAAAGCTTCAGCACTTTGATCCACCCAGAAGAGAAAAAGAGCCCAAGCTGGTTGTGGCGACAAGCCTTCTCCCCCCGCTGCCCCCGGACAGATGTGCCTCCTATTCA